GATGAAGTCAACTTTTGCCGTGTAACTTTTACCTACCGTCGACCTTTTTCTTTCCCTTTTTTCCCCTTTTCTTCTCTTCTTTTTTCTCTCTTTTTGTGAGAGAAAAATGACGCAGCCTTTCGAAGGCTCGAAGATACGAAGCGCCTTTAATGAGTCGAGATGGGTCAAACTAGTCAGCATTCAGATACTAGGAAGTGCAGCGAATTTCCCAGATACTCTATCGACAATTGTATTATTTGCAACTAATATAGTTCGTGAAAATCTACTTTGAATTATCATGATATTATAATATTAAATCATTATGATAATCATCAATACCAATAAAAGCTGTCATTGGTATGCATGTAAACGTATACTGAAATATACAGTAAATAAAAAATAAACATTTCAACATTTAGACAGGGGGTTATAGATCACAGTCGGAGTCAGATTATATAATGTTATAACTCATAAACAACATTAGTTATTATTTCTGCACATCCTCTAATTTTGTAAAAGATGATGTAAGACGCATAGTTAAGCGGATAAAACAAATTACGTAAAATAGTTTATAACAACAATAAAGTCAAATTGTAATAAATTAATCGTTGAAATATCAAAAAAGGCGTGACACAAAGTAATAAATGAACTAGGAAATAAATTTACATGTTTGTGACCAAAGGATAAATTTAGGATGAAAATATTGTAGAAATATATAACGATCTTACGAAAACCGAGTCGTGTAACATAAAGTTACAAATATTTATCCCTACCACTGCAAATACAGGAGGAGAAGTATCAAGTTTCTCTAAAACTATTATTAAATAAATCAAAGTAAGGGACCAACGATATAAAATAAATTAATGTTTCTCCGTTATAATTATATGCGATCTGACATATTTGTTATTTCTATTTCTACTGGAAGGTTCGAAACATTTATATTTATTTATACATGTTAATAAATATTTAATTGCATATATTCCGAAATTTGATTCGTATCTATAATTAGAAATTTATATCTTTAGAATCTTCAATTATTTCTAATATTAATGATTTGTTAAATGCATCTCACATTTTATCATGTCACATATGTATATTCAGTGCCAGCTCCTATTGATCTTATAATTAGAGTTTTTTTAACTTTTATTTATCTCTGAAATCTTTATTTATTTATTTGATTATTATCGATGTTTTTTTCAAATGTACTTTTTTAAACTTTGTCACTTTCGTATGATATTCGACTACACGAACGCGAAACATTCTACTTTTGTAAAATGCGCATTAAGATAACATTAAAATAATCTAATGAATCGAATAATCTATTTTAACAACAATGTAGAATGTTTGATAATGCATTCTATTGAATAAAAATGTAGAAAATTCAGGAAAACTGTACTCAGGAAAACTTCTATTTCGAATTGTAGAAGATATTACTACTCTAAAGCACATGTAGATTCAGAGAATATCCGGAGGATATCGCTTAAGTAGATTACATTTTCTTTATATTCGAGATGTATTATTATACAAAAAATACACTACGAGTATATTAAATTTTGTCTTTTTTCTATATGTAAATTGAAATTATTCTAATATTGTAAGTATCTGAAAAATATATAGATCTAATATTAAAAATTATTTTATTAATATATTATATTATAAGTAGTAGATTGCTCAAGAAAGTCATTTTGAACACTGAAAATAATTTATTTGCGTATCGATGATAATGATAATAAGTAATAAAATTTTTTAAATTATTAAGTTAGATTAGTAAATTGTTACTAATTTCAAAAAGCCTAGCATTTGAAATGGATTTTCCGGCACATGTCAATATGAATTTTTTTTTTCCGTTTCTACCAGATCAATAGAATGTTTGACTATCAAAGTTTGACTAAGCCTTTCATAAACGCATTGTAAACACGCGCACGATATTGTCAAAGCTCTAACGCTTTGACAATATTTTGAATTTAACGCAATATCCGTAGAATATGTTGCATAGTCACGTGAAATATTAATCCTTTGTGTCGTCTTATCTTTACCCTTCTGAATCGAAAGACTTAGATTTACCAAAAAAGACTTTATATATTCTCGAAAATGTCGCACCGCGTATTTGCGTATTGTAGATTTTTGCATTTACTTGCGATTTAACGGACAAAGTAACGAGGTGCCGTAAGAAGATAAGTCGATTCCGTACGTTGCAACGTCAAACTACCTATCGTCCGTGGAGCGGAGACCCGGGAACAATGACAGAATTGAGAGCAATGTGTTCGCGACATATTATGCACCCGCGTAACACCGCGTCAAATTGGAACAAAACACGCACTTACAATCGAGCGTGATCGTGCAATCTCGCGCGGGCGCGCGTATCTCACTTTCCGTAGATTCGACGATCCCTTCTATCGACACGTGCCACTTCCAGCCGAGCTTCCACCTCGCCTTTTGCTCGCCGAACAAGAAACCGGATTGCTCGATTTCCACCCTTTTACGACGGGCCGAACGAACGGTGCTTGGTGTACAATTAGAATGGAGACGATCGTAGGTGCTCAATGAAAATTTTTCGTCATCGAACGAGTGCCCGGGAGTTCGCGAACCGCCGCTCTATGAGGTTGCAGTCATTGTGAGAGTGACTCTGTGTCAGATGTAATCGTTAAGTCATAGGTTTCGCACTCTGAGTACGCGATCGCGGCTTTTATCTGACCGAATAATGACCGCCCCGTGACGTTCTGGCTCGGTGCAAATGCACTCGGTTGCGAGCATCTGATCTGCAAGGCCGCGGAATTACGCGAGGTTCTCTCATTTAGTGCGATAACGAGTATGCGATTATTGCAATTAATATATTCGCGAGCGGAATAACACACGTGTCACCCTTGCGATTTTAGAATCAATTAAAAACGCAGTTTTTTCTGTGAATTTTTTCTCCCCAATCGGAGGACCACTAATAGATTCCCATGAGCCGATCGACACTCGCGTGAATTATTGTAGCCTAACGAATTAAAATTATAGATGTTTACGTTGATTAGATAATTTTATATTATAATTAGACTTCTTTAAATTACGCAACGGAAACTTTTTAATAAGCAGCTGCATTGGCCTTTTGTGCATAATGAACGTACGATGAAAGACATTACAGCGGCAGTCCGTAACAAAAGGGTTAATCGTTGCATTCCGTCAGCTTTCTTTCTTTTCTCTTGTTTTGTATCGATGCGCGGGACAATAACTGACCGACTTCTCGTACATAGATTTCAGGAGAAAGAGATAGATGAAAATAATGCAAATGTCACGAATTTTGATCGTTTATTATATTTATGACATCAGCATCCTGATACGCTTTGTAAAAATAATGAAAATATCGCATGAGATGAACGTTGACGTGCCTGCGTAATTCTGAAAGGTTATCGCGTGCGTTTAAGAGAAACGCGCGTTTGGACGTGTAATCTCGACCGGGAGCTCTCGCAATTCGCAGTTAGCACGCGACGCAAAATAAAATGACTCCTGACACTTTGATAATGTAGATGCCACGATGCAGGTTTACGCCAAGGTAAAAGATAATCTAGGCGCAGCGATATAAATTTTCGTTAGGAACGCGTGTCTACCCGAGGCTCGATCAAGAATCGCATGGCAAAAATCTGGGACATTTCTTTGGTATATTTTTACAAGTAATTCCATTTCTTGCACGAAACTCGTGTCCACATGTAAAAAGACAAACATCTGGATTAACGGAAAAAAAATAATATGAAAAAAAATTATTTTCGCTTAATTATACCTTCATATATTCGCATCTTCCTTTACAAAATTGTTCGCTATCTCTACCATCACGTTCCTCCTCCCACACTAATATTTGCTACTTTATTAGTACTTATCTTTTTTAATTGGACCAACAAGGAGAACGAGTTACATCATTATGCCAAGTTGCATAACACGAAAAAGAAAAAGAGCAGCCCCGAGGCGTATATTCGCATACATTCGTACTCATTATAGGCGCGAACTCGCGTTTAGCCTCTCATTACGGATCTTCACACCTCCGGTTAGCTCGAGGGGGCGAACATCCCGTATATATACGTACGTGCCGATGGCTGGAAACGGCCGAATTTCAGGTCTGACCGGTCCAATGGCGATCGTAATGACGGTGTCAGGAATGACGTTGACATCCTCAAAGTATCGAGTAAATATTGCGACCTCCTTAATACTCGGATAAATGAAAGGCAATGTTGCCAATAAATTGCCGCCCCGCTCGAGCTTCCCGACAGGGGAAATTAATAATTTCACGATGATTAATAATTACGAAAAACAATGTACTTTTATTCGTCATTAACTTTTATTAATGAGTCGCTAGGTGATGGGTAGATTTCATTTATCAATGGCGATGTACATATATAGCCCATAGTTGAAATCGGGCGTTCTTGATGAGATCGGTGACGTAGTGTTGTGGTGATACGGGGATGCTGGGACCACGAGAGGAGCCGGTGGCGCCGATGTCGTCGTCGTCGTCGTCGTCGTCGTCGGCAACAATGGTGGTAGCGCGGCCGCAGCTGCGGTGGCGGCAGCAGCGCAGGAAAGGCTTGCGAGAGAGAGGTGAAAGATGTATAGAAAATCTGGCGGCGGGCTGGGCGTCGCGGGGCGGTGAATGACGTCACGTTGCTAAAGCGACGCGGCAACGCGAGGCGTCTGCGTGGGTCGGTGGGTGTCGTGGGGGTCCGGGATCAATAGCGCCAGCAACCAGGTACGTAGGTATGGGTGC